TAAATAATAAAACAAAGCTGCGAATACAACAAAATAGACACGAGACACTTTGTTGATATGACCTGCTACGTCACAATCGGGATAGGCAACCGACGATACGGATTTGGCGTTTTTGGCAAAAATATCTGATTTGAATTTAATTCCCTTTAAAATTATTATGGAGACTTTTTTTTGGAGACAATAGAGTGTAGAAATTTTGGAATTCAGGATTCAGATCGGTTTTATTGACATTTCCAGGGCTTTTAGTATGAAGTGTTTTCTTTAGACGGTCAAAGCTTCAAGTGTTTCCATACTCTACAGTGCTGTGAAACTGAAGATTTTTAGGGCAGATTTTATTGATAATCAGGGTTCGCTCTGGTTTAACGAAAACTTTCAGTGTTTCACATTCAATTATTTGCTCTAAACTGGAAAATTTCAAAGTCAGAATTTCCAACGTTTGTAAAAATGAAGATTTAGTGCGATTTGAATAGAACTCAAAGGGGCTCTTATATGCAGGTGGTTTTTGTAAACTGTGAAAGTTTTCAACTTTCTACTCGTTCTAAGTAGAATTTTGGAAAATTTTGAACGCAAGTATGCAGTTTTGCAAAATCGCTCATATATGGGACAGAGTTTATAAAGCGAATAAAAATCAGATTCCGGGCGATTTGAGTGAAAATTCCAGGGTTTGCAGGTTCAATTTTTTCCTTTAGACTGTGAAAAATTGCCATTTTTTACTTGCTCTGTGTTGGAAGTTACGAAGTTTTAAATGTGTGCCTATAGTTAGTTGAAGTCGTCCATTCTCTGGTCAAAATAATTGTAAAAATCACAATTTAAATGAGAATTAATTCGAATTTTCAGGGTATAAATCGCTTGCTCTAAAGTGTTACAAAGTCAATGTTTCTAATTGCTTTAGGTTGGGAGTTTTTAATGTTTAAAGGAGAGCGTGTAGTTGTGTAAATCGTTCATTGTCAGGCCAAAATTTCCAGAGCTTCTAAAGGTCAAGATTTGGTTCCATGTGCATGAAATTTTCCTACTTTTTATATTCGGATGTCTTTTATAAACTGTGGAAGTTTCAAGTTTCTACTCGCTCTAACTAGAAAGTGGGGAATTTTTGCAAGGAAATGAGAAAATATTTKAAATCGGTCATATATGGGTCAGAGTGTACAAAGTTTCTACAAATTATWATTTAGCGCGATTTGACAGGAATTTTCGGGCTTTGCAGCTTYRCTWACCTGCTGTAGACTGTGAAAGTTTCAAGTTTTTATTTTCTTTGAGTTGGAAATTTCGAATTTTTAAATAKGTGCCTGYGGTTGGGTGAAATTGGGTKGCCAGAATTTACAAGTTYGTAAAAATCAAGACTAAGTGATATTTGAACGAAATTTTYCGGGTTACCAGATTGAATTGTTTTGTTTCGACGGTGAAAGTTTCAAGTTTCTACTTGTTCGAGSTTGGTAGTTGCAAATACGAAAAATGGGTGGTGCAGTTTTGCAAAATCGATCACTTCTTTGCAAAGTTGCAAAAAKTTAGGATTCAGTGAGATTTAATTGATAGTTTCAGGTTTCTAWRATTTAACTGTTTGCTCCAGACCGTGAAAGTTTCWAGTTTCTACTTGCTGTAGGTTGCAAGTTGCGAATTTTTTAATGGGASCGTGCCGTTGTGRAAATCCTTCATTCTTAGACTAATCAGGATTTAATTTAATTGARTTCACATTTTCAGGGATTTTTTGTCGAAGTGTCTTTAGTGAACTGTGAAGTTTCCCAGTGGATAAGTTGTGATTTTTCAATAAGAACGTACGGTTGAGGGAATTCTAATAATCCATTCGCAGATCAGCGTTTACAGATTGGGTAAAAATCAGCATTTAATGCAATTTGGATGAAACTTTCATCGCAATTAGACCTAAGTATCTTCTACAGACTGTAAAAATTTCAAGTCGATGTATGTTCTGGGTTAGAAGTTATTAATTTGTCAAGCGCATGGCGTTGATTTGCGGAAGTGTTAATGTTGAGACCAAGATTTATCAAGTCGGGAAAAATTCGGGCTTGATGCGATTTGATTTGAATTTGGCGAAGGTTTAGATTTAGGTTTTGGCCATAAACTGTGCAAATTTGAACTTGCTTATTGCCCGAGGTTAAAAGTTATGAACATTCCAAAAATGCACATAGTGGCGTGTGATATATTGATCCAAAACGCCCCAGTGGGCAATTTTCCTCCCCCCTTTTCCTCGAGTGGAAATGTGCGCATATTAGATCGTTCTTTTGGGACACTCGGAAGGTAATTCACATATTAATTAGGCATTTCGGGCCCTGGGAGTCCTCGAGGTTTAAAAGGTCAGGCCGAATCAAGCCAATGAAAGTCCCATTGGGGAGACCAATTGAAGTCGTTGCAAGTCGGTTTTCGATGCGAATATTTGAATACAGGGTGCCAATATAACATCCTTTCTACAGAGATGTATCTATCCCCGAAGAATAGCCCCCAAGAAATAGTTTTTTCGTAATTTTTGTGTTTTTAATTGTTTCTTCTTATGGTACAAGCACAACGGGGCTTCATTTTAGTGTTGTGCGAGATCATCCAAGCAATGTTTTTCCAATTGAGAAAGACTTGTGGCTTAGCCGCCCCGTTCTCCCGGCTTAAATCCATTAAATTTCTGTCTCTGGAGCCACTTGGTTGTGACTTGGTTTGTACTTCTTGGACAGTAGAATTTCCAATAGAAAATCTTTGTTCTTTTGTCACCCTGCATATGTATATAATAATGTTGAATGTTGGTAGGATTCAGCAAAGTGTTTCTCACTTATCCAGTTCTGGCCGTCTTCGGAGTAAATTGGCCACAAGCCGGCTGGCGTACGAAAACAAGAGAAAATCAGACAGAAACGCGCTTCTCTCTACGAGAGTTCCACGCTTTCCTTTTGTATCGTCGAGGAAGCAGTTTGTCAAAGTGCCAAGACACTTAACTGTATTAACATCAAAGCTCGTGGGCGCGTTTATTCATGATGGTAATGGAAATATTCAAATTTCCTCGTTTTTCCTTGTGCATTGTAACACTCCAAACCCTCATGCAACAACTGATTGGCTTCAAGTCGCAAAAAGCGCGATAACCGAATTTACGAGCAGTGTCGGCCGGAGTCCTTTAAAATGGATCATCCGTTACGAGTTTAGCATAATCCGTGCCGACGAAGACATTAAAAACGATGTAAAGCCGCTGCGGAATTGAGCCGTTGCCCCGGAATTATGGCCAAAAGGCTCGAAAGTAACACTACTCGATGGCGGATTTCTGCCATAAATCTTAACCTTGGCCCGAAGTTTCTGTCACTTTTAAGTTCGGTTTCTCGTAAGGCGTCCCCATTCATCGCTAAGTTATTCCATCCGATTTTCCCAGCCAATTCTTACACCCTTAAATCACTTTGTTGTTCGACAATCGCTTATTGATTCCATACCTCAATTCATTGAAATAGGAATAACACATATGTTCCCCCATTGTTCCAAAAAGTCTAGATGGTTTAGATCAGGCGATCCAGCAGGCCCAGTTATTGTCTCCTTATTCATCTGATTTCAGTATTTCCTCACAAGTACTTCACGCCTCTTATGTGAGTTTGTAGTGTCTTTTCATACAAAAAGTCCAAATAAACTTCCCCATTTAATCGTTAATCGGTTTAAACTGACTCGTCCTGTTGATTTTCTATCAGGATTGCCCATGGTCCGCTGCTTAAAAAGTCTAGATGGTTTAGATCAGGCGATCGATCAGGCTGCCCTAAGACATTTTTTGGGGAAATGTGGGTTTTCATGCTTTTTCCATTCGCATGTTCTGGAAGATTTACCAGAATATGCCACATTAAGCAGAAGGCAGGTTGTGCCATTAGAGCCACTGCTAAGTCACGGTACATTGCACGAGCTGGACGAACGATCCCTAATGGCTGCACTTGGTTGAATATTCCCGCGATTCTATTCCATTCCATTCCGGCTAGAAAAATCAATTTAAACATAATATTCCGGCGTATTTCGCGTCGGGCTCAATTTTTCTATATATTTCCCCACATCGTAACGACCTGGATAATGCTAAACATGCAGACTCGACGAAGCGGCCCCGGATTCTGCCATCTGTGGAATAAGATGGAACGCATTCAAAAATGTTGTGCTTTTGTGTGTGTAAAAATAAAAATGGAAATTCCCCAGGTTTACACAATTCATGCTTGATTTCCGCGGCCATTCAGTCGTGGCGAAAGATTAGCCAACCCTGTGTTTAGTGGGGAACTTTTCCCCTTGCACGTAGCGTTCAAATAAGCCTCCATATCACATTGCGAGCCCCCCAGGTTATCTAGGAACATTATTTATTAATTTTCATTATGTTCTTGACTGCTTCGCTCCAGCCCTTTAGGCAAACAGCCGAATTTTTTGTCTTTGCTACAAAGGTTTCGTTTTTAGGATCACTTGAATTATACAGTCTGCCCAATTCATTTGGCACTGACGTCACCATTTCAGATTCTTCAGTTTCTCATTTTTTTTAGTTTCGTTAGTAATTTGCGTCAATTGTGCAGTTCTGGTCCTTAAGCGTATTAAACACACATACAACTAGAAAATGTATCGGTAAATTGAATGAAAACTTCACAGAAACTGCCAACAATCGCCAAGAAATCAAATCAATAATATGAAAATTATTTAATTCTTTCGCGAATTGTGACCATTTATTTAATAAAACACGTTGAAAGTATCAAAACTCCATCTGGCTCGGTGAATAAGTAATAGAAACATAACGATAGTTATTGCGTCACTACCAAAAAACTTGGGTCAGATCATTAGATGCAATTCCTTATAATAGTTTTCGTTTTAGCCTGGTGGGCTTCCAGGAAAAAACATTCGTATACATTTTCTTTAATAGAAAAAAATTGTCGCCCGGGTTTCTACTGGCGACGCCATCTTCAGCCAAGTCCAGCTAACCTCAGTATTGATTAAATATTCCACCGCATACAGACTTCTTCGCAACGTTGTCACCTCTTCACTCATCCACCGAACCTTACATCTCTACTCTGCCATTTGTCAATTCATGTCAGAAGCCAGAAGTGGATAGCCATAACAGTCTTTGCGGCGAAGTTTGTATCGAAGTTTTCGGGTTTTCTATGAACTTTAACTGAATTTTGCTAATTTTCGGCCACAAAAATGAGCGGGGATACCAACAAGACTGAACAATTCGACTCGTTGTTTCTTACCATCGCCCAACATCATCCTGAAGGTGCCCACCAGGTACTGGACCCCCAAACACTGTTACTCACCAAAAAAGCCCACTAATCTCGTCTGTTTCAGCTCCTGGACACCTTCGTGAGCTTCCTCGGTCGAAAGACTGACTTTTTCACCGGTGGAAGCAGAGGCGACTGGGAAAAGGTCAGTTAAAGAAATGCTAGGTTAGTTTTGCAACCAGAATTTTCACTGTTTGTATTGATTGCAGCTGGTGATGAACACCTTCAGGCGCCAGGAGGAGATTAGCTGCGCCCAACACGAAGCTGAATTGAAAGCTAAGCGTGAGAAAGAGCAAGCCAAGAAGGCGAAGCTGGTCGAACAGCAACAGAAAGAGGAGAGTGTAAAGCCTGCAGAGATTACCGAGCTCACGGATGTTGAGGCCGAAAGGCTCCAGAAGGAGATTGATGATAAGAAGAGCAGTGCTGCTGAGCCAGTTGAGGAGGAAGAGGACGAGTCGGAGAAGGGCAAGCTGAAGCCCAACAGTGGCAATGGGTGCGACTTGGATAAGTACAAATGGACGCAAACTCTGCAGGATATTGAGGTGAGTGTTAGTTTGCTTTGCTCGGGAATTGGCATCTTTGGGTTAAGTAAGGTTGCCAGGTTTTTCCTCGATGCTGGTCTTACTGGGTCCTAATCTGGCTGTTTAACAGCCACCAAATTATGGATCTACGTTTTTTCTTTACAAACGCTTCAGTTAATCTTTACCAATGTTTTTGGCTAAGTATAGGTGATATTTTATTCGGGGCAACACTGAGGATTTGTAAAAACTGTCCATTCTGGACGACTTTTATGTAAAAGCTTGGATTCTAGTCTGGGCAAAGACCCTTCTAGTCGCCTGTCCAAACAAGTCTGTGATAAAATGTCGATTTGCTTGAAAGGTTCACAACACACAAAAAAAGGAAAGATGCTAAACAGCTTGATCTATTGACTAGTAAAAAGAAAGTTATGTTTTTGATTCATAATTACACGTTTTAAGGCCAAACTTTCCTGAAAGAATTGCACGAAATTTAAGAAACTTGAGAGCTTTTCTAGTAATAAAGCCACCAAATCTCTAGCCAGTAGAAGACTTGTCGTTTTTTCAGTTTGTTTCAGTTTAAAAAGCCCAGAGCGTCAATGTTGAAATGAAACACTTTGTAAACACCTAGAAAAATTGCGAAGACTTGTAGTGAGTGTAGCTCCTAATGAGGAAAAGTTTACAAAGACGGTCAATTTTTTCTTTGCTTGTTAAGGAGGAATTTTGCAGGTTTCAAAAAAAGTCACTGTCGATTTCACTATCTAATTACTTTCCAGAATTCTGCTACATGGCAGCCCTGATACATAAATAATTATAAATACTGTACAATTAAGCTAAAAAGTCCCTACATCGATGTTTTACCTAAGTATCACAGGAACACTGTCTGTGTAGCCACCAACGCTCTGTATATAAACAAGAGGGTGGGTTTTTACATACATTTCACTGGGAGATTCCCCACTATTGGTCCAACAAGCGGACTCCTACTCCCTGTTTGTATTTCGGCTACTTGTAACGTAAACTGCTTAAAAACTAGTAACTAAGAAGTTTTTAAGTGTAGTTGCGCTTGTAGTTTAAATTTTAAAGAAAAAGGCAGTGATTAAAGGCCGGCAGGTGCGTGTTGAGAACAGTGTCTTTGTGAATGATTGAAAGCCGCAGTGGCAAGTTGGACGTTCTGGTTTCTAACAATGAGGGCTTGGCTTGCAGTCATTCACAAGAACAGTGTAAGATGGCACATACTATTTGGAACTATTTGGAATAACCTAGTTGATGACACTGGGGCGCACACTAATCAGTAGATCTTCATTTAAGTAATGCCACTGCTGGATTGCTTCTCCACTTAAACTACTGGGATTATTTGGCTGGGGTCAGTATCTTCTTTGGTCGCGAGCCCTCACTGTAACAAACATGTTCGGTTAGAAAGTTGAGGACTCAATAGCAACTTACTCACTTTCCATTACGTAAATGGCGGCCAGTATTCCAATGGTGAATAGGGCGGACATGCTGAGTACCAAGATGGTAAGCTGGTGCTTTCGACAGCAGCTCCTCTTCGGTACCCGGGGTGGTCGCGAATTCATGTTGACCACGGTGAAGTGCATGGAACTTGCTATCGAAACGTTGTCGGGTTCGGGCTGTTTGCACGCTTTGGGCAGAGCGGCGATCAGTTCGCTGGTTTTGTTCGCCTGATCCAGATAGTACTGGATGTTGATGTCGCGAGCACTAAGCTTCTCTTCATCCTGATGAATCTGGGCTAGATTGGTCGCTGTCAGCAATTGCGAGCCTGATTTGGCACTCTGAGAGGAATCATTCGTGAGTCTCCCTATTGGATTTCTGAGCAGTTACTTACCTGGCTGCTGTTATTGCTGGACGTGGAGCCCTGCGAACTGTGGGAGCTTCGAGCTAGTGTGGGTCTGGGAATGTGCCAACTCTTGTCGAGATCTGCGGGGATCTGGAATTCCAAGCAAATAACCGATAATCGTTGCGTAATTTTGTGGTTCAGGAAGTGTTTGGACTTGCTCATGGCTTGCAAGAACTTGTTTCGCAACTAGGAAGACTGATGTGGTTTTTTAATCCAGTTGGAATTTGTAATTATATTGATTGGCACGTGGGCAGCGATCTGTTTGAGTAAAACCAAAACACCTGATTTTTGCCCGCAAAGCGGTAATTTTCTGTGTGTGACACTCAAACGAACAATTTCAATACAAGTGGGAATTGTTGCTGGCTGGTTTAATGATATTCACTCCATTTGGAGACGTTCGTTCTTGTAAACGGATTAGCTCGACAATAGAATTCCCATAAACACTTCCTGATGGTTTGCGGTCTGTTTAAGGCGTTTTTGACGCCGAAATGGTCTTGAATCCAACGACATTGTTTTGTATGATTGTACAAGATGCGTCAATGGACAGGCAGGCCGGCAGGGTCAACAGCTATCTGGTTGTGACTGTATCAGATGCTCCTGTTAGGTCCGGCCTTGGTTGAGCGAATTTTCGCATTCAAAGTTCAAATTCACACGAATTATCATAAATTATGCCGGTGATATTGAAGTGGTTCTTGTGCAATCCGGAAGGTTAGTCTTATTGCAAAATGTGTCTGAATTCGACGATCGTGCAAACATGCAAGATTTCAGCCGAAAAAACGTGACCAACTTCCCTGCTGACTCGTTAGGACTGTTAAGGTCAAGTGTTGCCTACTGGGAAACGATCGGGCATTTCCTCCTAGTTAATCCGACATTGCCCAGAGAATTAGCACCTGTTTTTCGCCCAAATTTCTGAGTCCCCGAACGAACGACCTTGCCTGATGAATATTGATGCGGTCGATCATTGACGATGTTGTTTACGGTTCTCCGACATCGTTTCCCTTTATCATATGTGATTAATAAATGAGTATAGCGAATGTTTTGGCGTCTTCGAGATCAAACGGTAAAAATCCACGAATTATTTTGCCGGAATTCCGAGAATTGGGAAACCCAGCTATTCGGGCCTCACCACAGGACTGGTTTACATCCTGGTGACTTTTGTAGGAGATGTGGGTTTTACGTGCCAAACTCGATTCTGTTTGGTGGACATGTTCAAGAAAAACACACGGTTGCCTACGGCTTGAGCAATAGTGAGCGTCCTCGTCATTGGGTTTAAAGCCGATTTTCGGTGGTCAATGCGGAGAAAACGAAGATGGTTGCACACTTTGATTTCTGCAAGACTGCAGCCACACCATGGCCGTCTTCAGCATGTGAAAGCGCTCTTGAAATGTATCTGTGATTTCGCATTGTTAGATAATCACTCTCGAGCCGAGAAAGTTTAAGGGCATCGGTTACGTCGTGGTTTTAACCGAAAGAACATCAATGAAACACTCCCAGGTGCTGACTTTATGCGGTTTTCTGTTGAAGAGTAGGTAATCACTTGGGAAATTTGGCTTCTTCAACAAGAATTAATATCCTTTATAAGGTGTGTTGTATTGTATTCATTTGCTTTTCCTGTTGGTGTTTTTGCGGTTTGTAAGTGGTTCATAGTACTGTAGCCTGGTCTAAAATCCACTTATTGCCTGGGTTGATATGGATCCAATTTATTGGTTTATAGTTATCGAGCTTGTACTTAAACTCCTTAGTTTATAGTTCATTTCTTCGCATCCTACATTTGTGGCCCTATTTTTTCTTCTTTTGCTGGTGAAGGTGTTTTCTTAGCCTCGTAAAGTGATTTATAATATTTTTCCCCTGTTCTTGTTAGTTCTTCCCCCTGAGGAACCTCTTCTCCGTCGTCATTTAATAACTTTGTTATTTGTGGTTTTCTTTCGTTCATTTCTGCCTATAGTTTAGACTTCTTGTTCGTTCTTTAACTAGTTGATGAGTTTCCTGACTTGGTTGTAGTTCGGGGTTTTTTTATTCGGTATTATTGCCTCAGCTGCTTTTAGTAGGTTTCTTGTTTATGGTGTCTATGTCCGAATCTTGTTCCCCTGCATGTGTTCGTGAACGATCTCCGCGTGTTTCATCATCTTCACCCTATATTCTTTTATTTTCAAGTACTGATTATCAGTTTCCTTCTTGGTTTTTGTGTGTTAATTCTTATTTTCGCCCTCGACATCCTGTGGTCGCTGCCATGTTTATCGTGTTTAGCACTGACTGGTTAGATCCTTACATTTTCGTCTAGACTTTACCAGGTCCAGGGCCTTGTGGTTTTTTTATACGTGTTTATTAGACACAGGTTTCTTCGCTAGCATAATCTATCAGCATTTCGCCTCTGCTATTTCTTATTCCTCGTCCCAAGAGGCCTAAATATGCGTTTCTGGTTGGGGTTTTCTTTTATTCCTACTTTCGCGAATTATCCCATAATTAATGTTTATTTTGTCTTGTTTTTGTTCAACACTAATGTTTTGGTAGAATATTTTCTTTTTTTTTCCAATGCGTTTGTGAAATAGTTTGAAGATTGTTATGCAATTTTCGCCCTTTCTTCTCACTTCTGGTAGTCATTTTGTGGTCCATTTTCATTAATCGCAACCTGATTTGATCTACATTGCACTGTTACAATTTAAAATTGGCCTACACTGTCTGACGTCATCAGTTGCTTAGAGTTCAGCACTGAGCAAATCAACTCAAAAATGTCAATATTCTTCCACGACTTGCACCAATTTCTCTCGCTCGGAGAACAAGTAATAGAAAAAGAACGCTGATTATTGCGTCACTGCCAAAACACTTGGGGCAGATTATAGTGGCTGAGTTAATTAACTTCACTAGTGATTAACGAAAAGAATGTGCATTGCGCCAAAGGTCAACAGTAGTTGGCTATTTTAGTGCGGCCAAACCAATGAATGGGCAATAAGGTCTCGTGCCATAACCATGCATACATACATGCGCTGCGAAGCAAGAAAGGAATTCGAAATGGGTTTTTCTTAGCCTTCCGCAAGTTGACACAACCGGACAAAGTCTGATTCATTGACTAGAGCTGCTCGGTTAAGTAATTTATGCACTGAGTGTTTGCTTGCAAACGCCACCAGCTGGAGGAGAAGCTAATTGGACAAAGAAGCGACCTCAGGTGTTGCTTGCCGATCAGATGAAATTATTTATTGCGCTAGATTTCTTGTGGGTTTCGTAGGCGACAAGGTAGACCTCATGTCCGAGTTGGACTGGGATAAACAACGAAAATTTCATC